ACATTTATCCATTTTAAATATACTAACCTCACTCCTTTGTAACAACTAAGGCAAAAAATGTAATTAATTTAGAAAATCTTTGGGAAACACTGGACTAGATGACTCTTAACTCAACACCCACGGCAGGAATATCTGCTCAGATTATCTTTAGAGCCATCATGATAATCTGGACTTCCTTAAGATTGTCAGAAGGGCAAAAATCGGCCTGATTTTCTTGTAGTGTGACGCCGGCCTYAGCTGAAGCTGCATGTGACTTCCAAGACTGAAACGTGCTTGTGGTGACTCAGGATGTTGAACTCTGCTGTGTTTTGCTCCACAGCTGGTGAAGCTCTGCGGTGGGATGATTGAAGCTGGGAAGGCGTACGCCTCGGCCAACAAGCTGTTTGTCAGCGGCATCAGGGATCTGTCTCAGCAGTGCAGGAAGGATGAGATGGTCTGGGTGAGTGCACCTCATGCCTTCACCTTGTGTTGTGGCTCTTTGTGACTGMGTGAACCGGGGTTCTGCTGTTGGTTCTGTCTGAACAAACCAGCATCGCAGCTGCGTTAGTCAGAGAGGAGACTGGAAAGTCCTGACGTGACCCACAAAACMGAGTCTGCTGACATGAAGTTCTATTAAAAGATCTCACATGCTTTATGACGAATGGGCATATTTGTAGTTTGAGTTGTAAAACAGCAAAGAATCAGCTCTGCTGTAGTGGTTTTAAGAGGAGCTCAGTCTTGGTTTTAGTTTGTTGAGAGCTGTTTTATTTGAGAGGACTGTGAGTCTAAAGTCTGTTTTTTTTGTGTTTTTTTATAGGAGTGCTTGGAAAAATGTGGCAACAGCCTGCAGGAAATCATCAACYACCACATGGTAAGTGGTCCATGTGGTCCACGTACAGCAGAGTGGGGCGGAGTTAGACTGATCCACATCATCAAACTGTTTAGCCAGATCTAAAAAACTAATGATTCAGTCTGTTCAAATAACAGATTTAACATTTTTAACACAAAATATTTTCAAATCCTTGTCTTAGAAGATTGCCATTTCCTCCTTATTCCTTCAATAAATCAATAAACTGTAAGTAACAACAAATACTGTAAACTATAAAACAATAATAGTTAGGTGATAAAACTTGTCACTTTGTTCTCAGCCTAGCATMATTTGCCCTTCTTGTCACAAGGCCCGAGTCGAACTTTTCACCCCCCTCGACRTAGAAAGATCTTGTGAGATTGTTCAGCGTTTCTTGATTATGCTGCAGACAGCAGTGGTGGCRTTTTGCTACAACTACTCGAATGTTATACCCCGAAACTGACACGTAAAGATAGTCAACGGGCCAAAACCAGACAGATGGAGAAAACACAGAGGTTGTGCACAGAGGAATCCATCTGTGGAACTCTATCCATGAAAGATTTGTGGCCAAACTAAGGGCGGATGTCAGAGTTTAGATTCCAGCAGGGGGAAGCCTGTGTTGTGACGTGTTCTGCAGTGGGAGTGGTTTCCCAGAAGCTCTTCGCCGTGTTTCTAGTTGGAACATGGAAGGTGTGCGTGAAAACGAACCTCCCCCCACCATGTTACCACGCGTTGACTAGTCGGCTGCTGATGAACCATGCTTAAGGGAGAAGAAATATACACAGTGAGTGTCTCACAGTGAGTGTATATACAGGAGAATGCTGTAAGACCTCATTTTGTAATAACAGCGCATTATGTAATCAAATCAGGCTTAAAATGTAATAAACTCGCGCTAAAACCACATTATGTAATAATTGACGCAAAATGTAAGAAAAGTCTTCAACGCGTTTTGTAATACTCGCAGCTGCATTATGTAATATTGTTATTACAATTTGCGGCAATTATTACACAGTGGGGTGGTGTAATAATCTGCTGCATTATGTAATAAACAATCAAAAACCTGTATTCATCCTAATCAATATACTTGTTGTAATGGAACTAATACTTTTTATGTTTAAGTAAACATAAAATGAATAACTGTCATGTTGCAAATACTACATAATTAAATCTTTATAGCTTTGGTCAATAAACACCGAATTTCCCATTTTTTATTTGCATTTTCAGATTTATTGTCCGGATCCCTGTTACAGAAATTATTGTAGACAACTCCCAAAATATATCTAAAAGTTAGTTGTACATACATGTCAACCCCTTCAAACGTTTACGTGTATAACGAGCCTTAAAACTCTTAATTTTTATAAAAACAATCTGTATTAATCACACACGGGGGGGTTGGGGGGTGCAGGTGGACTCTCGGCTTCTGTATCAGAAGGAAATGAGGGTTGAAGACTTTGTTTCCAGCTATAAAGTGGGTTGGAYGTGGATATTTGATGTTAATAATTGTTTTTAATGTCATACAGGCTCTGACATGTTGAATAAATTAGAAACTAAGTTTTTTAAAGATTCCACAAAACATGAAAAATATCCATCAGTTTGCTCTGTGCATCCATATACACAAGAATTTGACTGAAAATGCAAATAAAATATGAAAACTTCTGTGTTTATTGACCAAAGTTATAAAGATTTAATTATTTAGTATTTGCAACATGACAGTTATTACAAGTATATTGATTAGGATGAACAGAAATACTGGTTTTTGATTGTTTATTACATAATGCACCAGATTATTACACCAACACATTTTGTAATAATTGCCGCAAAATGTAATAATGTTATTATATGATGCATTAAAGACTTTTATTACATTTTGTGTCACTTATTACATAATGCAGTTTTAGCGTGAGTTTGTTACATTTTGAAACCTGATTTTATTACATTATTACATAATATGCTGTTATTACAAAATGAGGTCTTACAAATGCTTTAAACACTCGCCATGATGCACTGTACACACAGCCAGAGTAAGTGTTTTCAGATTAATTATGAATTATTCTCAGTGACGGCTGGTGGATTTTTCTAGGCAGGGGTGGGGGTTACAACTCCAAAGACATAGTAAAACGAACTTGTACTAAGTTGTTTCACACCAGTATATTTATCAAACAAATGAAAACAACGCAACGTTCGCTTGTTTTTTAGTAAAAAAATCAAAGCCATTTTCTTTTATTTTAACTTTATTTCACCCGTCGAGGACACGCTCCTCCCGCTGCTGCTGCTTGTTCTGGTCTGAACACTAGTGTGTTCTTCGGTGTGAAAATAGTGCGTCCAACGAGAGGCGTTTTGCGCTTTTTGGCCACTCAAAACGCGTTCGGTGTGAACGTAGCGTTAGACTTCAGTGGTAAGGATTTCTGCACCCTGGCGTGATCCAGAAGTGACTCAACATGACAYTGTTCATGACTAAAATGAAAGTTTATTCATTAATAACTACCGTATTTATTCGAGTAAAATACATAAAATTTGATCCATAAAACCATGCATAAAGTTGGGGTGTAGTACTGTACTCCGATAAATATTTTTACTGATGTATTTTAACTGAAATATCGGCCTCATTCACAAAATCCCTGAGTCCGGAAATGAAACCCTGTTGTAAAAAGCGGTTGAAGCGATCTTACCTCTAAAACTCATTCGTGCCTCCGAGCGAGATAGTAACAGATCCAAGCAGCGACATGATGTGAAAAAAAGAAAAAAAAAGGCAGTCCTGCATAACGAACTAATGATATTAACGTGCGACCGGACCGCTCCTGGAACAACAACAAACACATGGTCGTCTGTAATGGCT